TTCTGTGCACTGGAGTTAAGTGGCTTCTGAGCTGGTCTCAATGGCTTGGGACCTGGAGCTGGATCACCGTTCATCAGACGTGCTTGCATGTGCACAGGGTGGGAATTCCCTTCCCACAGAAAGGAAAATCCCCTTCTTTCTCTTCCCTTGGATTCTGTAGTTTAGAAATGAAAGAACCCAGGGAAGGGTCTAAAGATTCCTGAATGAGCTGTCAAGAGTTTCAAGTTCTCTTTGATGGCCAAGCAGCAGATTGCTGTGGAGAGAGCTGGTTTGTGGGGGAAACTGGGGAACAAGCAGCTTTTGGGTTTCCCTCTCAGGGCCAGGTGTGATGATTGTGGAACTCATTCTGAACCTGAGATACCAAAGAGCAGGCTCGGGGAGAACGCTGCCAGTGCTGTTTCCCACAGGAAGGAGTGATGAGAAATGCAGGCACAGAGAGGGTTGAAAGGGTCCAAAGCCGTGAGAGATGATGATGATGATGGTGATGATGTTCAACCTGATTTTCTTGACCCTCTGGAGGCTTAAGCAACGGGGGGACTGAAATTCTTGGCCAGAAGGGAGCTCTTGTCCAAGAGGTCTTGAAGTCTCTCTTGGGAGGAGAGGCTGTGACTGTGCCAAGCCAAGGCTGGAGTAGAGGTGCAGAGCATCTGCAAGGGAGGAGCTGGTTTGAATGCAAGAAAAGGCAACCAGGCTGTGGCTGCAGCCACCTGTTCATCTGCTCCCCCTTGCCTGGGGAGCCTGAAAAGATGCTTTGCAGGGTTGCAGCTGCACGAGAGGGAAAGGGATCCCTGTGGGATGTTCTCAGGGCAGGGGGAGTGGGGCAGGTGCCACATGGGGCAAGCTGTGTCTCAGCTGGCTCTTGCGAGCTGCACTTTTCAGGAGCTTCCCCTGAGCTCATCTTCCCCCGTGGCTCTGGGCTTCTGCCCCCTGCTTCTGTTGCACACAGGCACTGCTGAAACAGTGCCCTAGGAAGGAAGGAAGGATCCTGTGGGATCTGTGTGCTCTGGCATTGACATTTGTTGGGCTACAGTGAATGGAGGCGTGGAGAGTTGGGCTTGTGGTAGCAGGGGATCCTCTCAAGATGGAAGTTCTGCCATTCCAGAGGGCCCGTGTCAGTTGTGTTCCTTCTGTGTGCTCCCCAGAAAGACCAGAAATTTAGGTCAGAAGTTTTGGCCCCATTAACAGCTGGAGCTATCAGACACACGGCTACACAGCTCCTGGGGGTTTCCCTGAAACTTTGCTGAAAACTGCTGGAGATGATTTAAGGCTAATGAGCAAATGCTGTCTGCTCTGGGGGGATTTGTCACTGATCATTCAGCAGCGTAGACGTGCTGAGATTCCGGCAGTGACCAATTTGAGGCAAATCCTCTGTTGGGTACCGCAGAATAACGTGACGGAGAGGGGCAGCCCCTTGGCCGAGAGCACTGAGCTGCTGTGGTGATGCTCAGCAGGACGGGACGGATGCACAGCCACGAGAGGGGGCTCGGGGAAGGCTCAAGGAAGCCAAGACAAACTTCTCATCCAAACCCTGAGCACCACAGCAGGGCCGGCTGGAAGGGAGCAGCCGGGGGAGTTGGACGCCGCAGGTCCGAGCTCGCCTCCCGGGCTCGGGGTTAATTAGGGGACATTGAAATATTAAATATATGCGATCACACATATTTGTTCCCCGATATTTTCCCCAGGGATTCTTTAAATACATATTTAAATGCCCAGAGAATCATTTTTTTAAATAATATTTCTTCTCTAATGTCTGCAACCTTGCACATATTATGTATTAGTATGGAGGAGGAGTTGGACAACGTTCTGAAAAACCTTTTTGCCTTCTGAGCTTTTCAAGGAGGATGAATTTGGTTTCATGAATGTTTCAGAACACCGTGCTTTTTTTTTTTACTTTGTTTTTTTTTTTTTTTTTTTTTTTTTTTTTTTTTATGTTCCTTGTGCCAGGGGCAGAGAGTTTACACAGACTATTGCTTAGTTCTTGCTTGCAGATCTACAGGTTCCAGCATCTCCTCAATAAAATCAGCCACTTGTGTGAGTGCAGCTGCTGGACAGAGCCGCTCTGGGAGCTCCGCACTCCTCTGTCCCAATGTCCCAATGGCAGCGGGACATCTGTCCCGAGACCCCACAGCAGGGAACGGAGCTGGGGACGGGGCTGGAGCCCACGAGGGGCTGAGGGAGCTGGGGGGGCTCAGCCTGGAGAAAAGGAGGCTCAGGGGAACCTCCTGGCTCTGCACAAGTCCCTGCCAGGAGGGGACAGCTAGGAGAGGTCGGGCTCTGCTCCCAGGGAACAGGGACAGGACAGGGAATGGCATCAAGCTGTGCCCGGGGAAAGGTTCGGTTGGATACCAGTAAGAATTTCTTCCCGGAAAGGGCGGTCAGGCATTGGAAGAGGCTGGCTAAGGGCAGTGTGGAGCCGCAGTCCCTGAAGGGACGGCTGGAGGTGGCACTCGGTGCTCGGGGCCGGTGACCGGGCGGCGATGGGCCCCAGGCTGGAGCCGATGATCCCGCAGCTCCTTCCCACCCTCAGCGCTTCCGGGATTCTGAGGGGAGGGCGGGACCCGGGGGAGCCACAGCGATGG